TCCGGCCTCGCTCTGCTGCCCGGGACACGCCGCCTCCCAGCCGGAGGTGAGGACAGGGGCGCGCAGGGCTAGACGCTGTGGGGATTCCAGGCCCTGAGCAGTCGCCAAGCCGAGCGCGCTGAGATGGGAAGGGAACGTGGAAGCTAGTCCTAGAGGGTGGGTGTCGTAGGTGCGGGTAAGGGACTGCTCGCTGCCGGGAACCAGGAACAGTCCCTGCTTCTGGCCCCCGCGTTCCCTCCGTGCTCGAGGACGCCTCTCGGTGCTGTCTCTATCCCCGCAAACCCCTCGGTCCCGACCGCGATCCCCACCAGCCCCAGCCATTCCCGTGCCGCCGTGGCCTCGCTTGGCGCTGCCCATCCTTCCTGCAGACCCTTCTCCCGAATTTCTAGCTCCAGTCCCCTCTCCTGCTCTACCCTTCCCGGTTCCAGGTTCCGGTTACCCGCATCCACTTCTTCTGTCCCGGTGCCCTGCTCCGTCGTCGGCTTTTGTCAATTGGAGCCCATATCTTTGCCGCTATCTCCGCGTCCAGCCGCCTCCCAGCCAGTGCCATCCCACAGGTGTCTACACGTCTGGCCGTCCATCCGTCGGTCCCTCCTGGGGCGGACGCTGACCATGCCCAGCGGTTGCCGCCGCCTACATCTCGTGTGCCTGTTGTGCATCCTGGGGGCATCAGGTCAGCCTGTCAGAGGTGAGAGAGCCACAGGGTTCCAGTCGCCTCCCTGTCAGGCAGTCCTAGCTTGCGCGTTGACCTCTGCTGGCCAGAGACGGCACTGCAGCCACTCTGACCAGCGGACCTGATGAGACTTGGGTCCTCCCTTTAAAGCGGGATGGGTCTGCTTGCCCGGGCCAGACCTGAGTCCACCCAATAACTAGAACCATGAATCCTCTCCCGAGTTCATATTCCAGGAACCTGAACCCTGACCCGGACTCACCACTTCCAAATCAATCTCTTCCAGCGGATGACTGCAGCTCCCACTGTGACCTGGCCCACGGCTGCTGTGCACCTGATGGCTCTTGCAGGTACCTATCCCCAGCACTGCTCCAAACCCTTTGCTCTCCATTTCCCAGACCTTCACCCCCACAATTAGGTCAGGCCTCAAGTCAGAGTGCCCAGGGGCTTAAGACCCTACTGTTCACCCTATCACTTCTTATGACATATAAGGCAGACTGGCCAACTTCCTTCCCACCCCACCATTGCCATTGACCTCACCTCTCTTGCTTTTTCTAGTTTATCTTTCCCAACTCTGACCCAGAAATTCTGAAACATTGCTCTTCAAGACCTCTAGAAGGAGACTTGAAGCTTGAGAGTTTGGAAATTGAGAGCTACAAGGAAAAGGGAAGATAAAAAGAGAGGTAGCTTAGGAAAGAGGGGCAGTAACTGGGGAGCAGAACTTGTGATATATGAGGTTCTTTCTAGATGACTTGAAGCAACTGATTCACTGAGGTGGAGGGTGAGTCAAATTCTGTAGCAGGAAGAAAGTGGACATAAGAAATGAGCTGAGGCAGGTTGCTCAATGGACTGGGAATGTTTGAGACTACATCTTTGGGAGGGCTTTAAAAAATAGTCGTTTGCCTTGGAATTCAGTGGGAAGATGGCCCTGATGACCTTTCAAGGTCAGTCTTTGCTTAATTGGTTGTAAACACATTAGACATGCCAGGAGTGGTACTGGAGGCATTTATGGAAAGGATCTTATTTCTTCCCCAACACAAGCCTATAAGGTGTATCTTCAATTCTTGGTGAGGACACTAAGGTTCAGAAAGGCTAGACAAAGCACAGAACCAGGACTAGAGCACTGGTTTTGGATACTCAGTTTCTGTATGTGTCCCATGATCCTGCACAGGCCTATACCTGCCTGAGACAGTTCTGGGTTCCCATTTCCTTCTGGTTTCCCATTTCCTTCTGGTTTCAAGAAGCTCTGGTTCTGCATCCTCCCAGAACCCTTACCTTGTGCTTCTTCCTCTCAGGTGTGACCCAGGCTGGGAGGGGCTGCATTGTGAACGCTGTGTGAGAATGCCTGGCTGTCAGCATGGTACCTGCCACCAGCCCTGGCAATGCATCTGCCACAGTGGCTGGGCAGGCAAGTTCTGCGACAAAGGTAGGGGTAGGGAAGCTCTTGGTTGGGGAGTTCTTGTGTCTTAGAACATTCATTAGTCTTTATTCATTAAGCAACTATTGTGTTCTGCTTTTAAATCCTCAAATACATGGTATTTTATCCTTTTTGATTTTCTACCTACCTGTTGTAAGAATTTGCCCTCAGCATAACCCCATGAGGTTGGAAAGGTTGCTACTAAAAAAGACTTATTTTACACATGAGGAAACTAAGGTTCACAGAAAAGCTATAGCTTGCCCAGTCAGTTTGAGACAGACTGCCAGAACAAGAGCCAGGTGCCTCCTGACTCCAACATCAGGGTGGTTTCCCTCAGTACACCATCTCAGCCTACGGTGTACACACACAGACTTGGGTCCAAAAGGGCTAGCTGTGTAGGCCTGGGCAGGTCTGATAACCAGATATGAGGGGTGATCAAAAGCCTTCTGTTTCTTCTCCAGATGAGCACATCTGCACCTCCCAGTCCCCCTGCCGGAATGGAGGCCAGTGTGTATATGATGGGGGTGGCGAGTACCACTGCGTGTGCCTACCAGGATTCCATGGGCATGACTGTGAGCGCAAGGCTGGACCCTGTGAGCAGGCAGGGTGAGTGCTGGGCTTGTGGCAAGGTTACACTAGAATCTGGTGACAGGATGAAAAAGGCAGGACTACAAAGAGCCAGGAGAACTGAGGGTCAGGCCCACATGACCACAATAAAACCCCTGGCTCAGGATTTGTTGTTCAACTTTTTTTGTATCTTCTGAGCCATTTCTTCAACAAGCTATAGGAGCTGGAGGTGTAACAGATAATGTATGACAGCTCTGGTTGGAAGGGTGGGTGAGAGGAGAATGAGGGAACAGAAACTGGCATGCAGCTCTTAAAGATATCCCACACAGCAGCCTTATACCTCTTTGTATGGATGATGAAACAGCCCCACAGGAATGGACTTGTCCTTGTTTCAGCTTTAGGATAAGAGCTGGGGGGGATAATAATAGCACATTTATCCTCAGGCCTGCCTTTGGGCCAGACCCTATGCTAAATGCTTGACATCTGATTCTCTCATTTAACCCTCACATTGTGCAGCTAAGTACTATTTTTATTCTCATTTTTAAAATGAGATATTTGAGACCCAGAGAGAGTAGACCAAGGTGACACAGCTAGGAAGGGGGGGCGGTAGTCAGGATGCTGACCAAGGCCATCTTGCAGGTGTTAGAAGTTGGTGTCAATATCCTTTCCCATCCCCACTGCAGCTCCCCATGTCGGAACGGCGGGCAATGCCAGGACGACCAGGGCTTTGCCCTCAACTTCACATGCCGCTGCTTGGCGGGCTTTGTGGGTGCCCACTGTGAGGTGAATGTAGACGACTGCCTGATGCGGCCTTGTGCTAATGGTGCCACCTGCCTTGATGGCATAAACCGCTTTTCCTGCCTCTGCCCTGAGGGCTTTGCTGGACGCTTCTGCACCATCAACCTGGATGACTGTGCCAGCCGCCCGTGCCAGAGAGGGGCTCGCTGTCGAGACCGGGTCCATGACTTTGACTGCCTGTGCCCCAGTGGTTACGGTGGCAAGACTTGTGAGCTTGTCTTACCTGTCCCAGACCCTGCCACCACGGTGGGCACTCCCCTAGGGCCCACCTCGGCTGTGGTGGTACCTGCTACAGGGCCAGTCCCCCACAGCGTGGGGGCAGGTCTTCTGAGGATCTCTGTGAAGGAGGTGGTGCGGAGACAAGAAGCTGGGCTAGGTGAGTCTAGCTTGGTGGCTCTGGTAGTGTTTGGGGCCCTCACTGCCGCCCTGGTCCTGTCCACTGTATTGTTGACCCTGAGGGCTTGGCGCCGGGGCATCTGTCCCCCAGGACCCTGTTGCTATCCTGCCCCACATTATGCCCCAGCACGGCAGGACCAGGAATGTCAGGTTAGCATGCTGCCAGCAGGGCTCCCCCTGCCACCCGACCTGCCCCTTGAGCCTGGAAAGACCACAGCACTGTGATGGAGGTGGGGGCTTTCTGGCCCCCTTCCTTACCTCCTCCACCCCTCAGCCTGGAGTGGTCCTTTCTTGCTACCCCTCAGTTTGGGTATACATACTGAGGGGAGACTTCAGCCTTGTACCAGAAATATTATTTTTTTAATATACAGAATGTAAGACAGGAATTTTATCAAATAAAACTATGAAAATGCACGTGGGCTCCTATGCCAGAAAACCCACCTCAAGTCACAGGTGCAAGAGGGCCAGAGCAGAGGCCTGATTCTGGGGAAGCCTTAGCACTCTGCCCTCAGGGAGGGACCAACGAGGAACCCAGGTTGCCATTTCTCCTCTGGGGAAGTGAGGGAGGTAGAGCCACAGAGGAGAAGCAGCAAGCCCTTCCGGGTCACCTGGAGGAGAGAACTCTGGAGGGTGCAGTGTGGGGCTCAGGGTCCTCCAAGAGAGGAGGGGCCTCCCTGCTGGCTACTCTGCAGCAGCTGTTGGAACAGTGAGTGGGGCTGGTTACGCAGGGCAGAGGGGGAGTCCAGCTCCATGACCCTCCCTGCTTGTAGCACCAGCACCCGGTCGGAGTTCAGGATTGTGTTGAGCCTGTGTGGGAGAAGGTGGTCAGTGTAGAGAGCAGAGGACAATGCCCTAAAGGAAAAAACTGATGAGCTGTCTGTCCCTACCCCTCAGGACTTCAGAGGTCTGTCCCCACAGGCATTAGTCCCTGGCTCCATGCTGAGGAGGGACTGCAAAGGTCCCTTAAATAATGTGCTACTAAGGGCCCAGAATAGTGTGTGGAAAAAGAGGAGCCAAGATCTATGGGCCCAGATCCTTGGGTTCCTGAAAATACTGAGGGCAGGCTGTGGGTCCATGTCACCATGGTCCTTGATTAGTCTTATTCTGGATACTTGCACACCTGTGAGCAATGGTCAGCACTGTTTTGTTGGCAAAGCGTTTGCGGATGGTCTGCTGGAGCAGCTGGTCTGTCTTCTGGTCCACACTTGCTGTGGCCTCATCAATGCACAGAACCTGAAATGTATGTTGAGGAAACGGAGGGAGGAAGGGAGGCATAGGGAGCTATAATCCAGTGCACACCTATAGCGGCCGCAGCCTGCTCTTCCTTGCAACTTCTCTCCAACCCCTTCTTTACCCTGACACATCCCCTGTCTCCTTTCTGATCCTCTCACCTTACCTTGGCATCTGTGAGGAGAGCCCTGGCCAGACATAGCAGCTGCCTCTGTCCCAGGGACAAGCTCCGGCCCCCCTCGCCCAGCTCGCCATGCAGACCACCTGTAAGATGGAGCATTTTCATTGTGGGCCAAACCTCTCCCTGCTCCTTCCCTGCTACCAGGGTCAGACCCAGCACTCACCCATGGAGATGATCACCTCACTCAGATGGCACTGTTCTAGGGCCTGCCACAAGGCCCTGTCCTCATATAGGCCCTGAGGATCCAGGTTTTCCCGAACAGTCCCACTGAACAAAAAGGGCTCCTGGGGGATGATAGCTAGCTGTGACCTGGGGCACAAGGACAAGAGATCCAGGCTGGAGATGTGGCCACTTCTGCCGGCATCACAGGTTTTAACTATGGAGCTTGTTCTTCCAGGAAAGCCTGGGGATGAGACCTGCACACCATCCACTCTGCTTCCCACCCCATCTCCACTAACTGGCCAATCAGTTAGCTATGCACATAGAACTGTGCTGGCATTATGAGTAACACCAAAGAAACCAAAGGCCTGGACTCGGGCCTTAAGCAGCCTACATTTCACCGAGGTACAAAACAATAAGAAAAAACAAGGGCTAAATTGTGTGGCACAGACTCCAGGGACAGCAGTAGCTATGCAGGGAATGACCACAGTAGCTAAATGGGGAGGGGCCCTTCTGGGTGGAGAGGCCTGGAGTTGGATCTTGAGCCAAAACTCAGAAGACAGAAGAGGCAGGGCCAGGGTCATGTGTACAACCTTAGCATACAGCTTGCCTACCTTTTCCACATCATGGAACTGAAAGAAAATACTCGGTTTACCTAGGGCCGGGGCTGAGGGCTCTGTGGAACAGAGGAGGCCACTTGTGGCATGGATGGTGTCCAGTTATCCCAAGAACTGTCTACTGAACTGGAGAGTCAAGGGATATCAGGATCCCCTGGGAACCTCTGATATAGAAGGTAGTGACTAGTGTCTAAAGTGGAGACAAGAAAGATGGAGCTGGAAATGTAGCCTGGGTCAGGGTGAGGAAGACCCCAAGGCTGCTGGCCAACTCTGCACCTGAGGAGGAGCTTGCTGGCTTCACTTGCTCATCTTCTCCACCTTATCCCAATTGACCCTGGCTGCCCTGAGAGTATAGAAACCTTCTAGCTATGCCCTCCTCTAGGTGCCATGACCGTGGCCCTGCTTCTTCTGTCTTCTGAGTTTTGGCTCAAGATCCAACTCCAGGCCTCTCCACCCTCTTCCCTTTTTACCAACCTCCTTACCCCCCCAGACCTGAGCTCAGCCAGCTCTAGCTGGCTGGTGTCCACGCCGTCCAGCAGCACTCTCCCCATACTGGGCTCCAGCAGCCGGAACAGCACCAAAAACAGGGAAGACTTGCCAGAGCCCGTTCGGCCTACAATGCCCAACTTCTCTCCAGGTTGCACACAGAAGGTCACCCCATCCAGGGCATTTGGCAGCCCTGGCCGGTACACCAACACCACATCCTGGAACTCCACGCTTCCCTGGGTCAGCCAGCTGATGCCCTGCACAAGGGAGGGGGCTCATGAATAGGAGATGGAGGGAAATGGTTGAGATGAAGAGTGACAGTGAGGAGGGGGTTGGAAGGTATACAGAGGGGAGAATAATAAGAAATGGGTGGTCTGAGAAGAAAGATGGGGGAATGGGGAAAGATGGGAGGCTAAATGCAGGGATGAGGGACAAAGTACATAGAGATCGTGCAGAGAAGCAAGGGAGCTGAGCAAAAGCAAAGGAGCTTGAGGGAAGGCTGAGGCCTTCAGGAGACCCTGCAGGGATCTGGAGCTCTGGCCTGGGGTGGTGGGGTACCAGCCTACCTGCAGTGGCCGGCTCTGAGGCTCCTGAGGCAGTTCACAGGAGTACTCCTCCAAGCGCTCGACGCTCACTAGCATGGTTTCTGTCTGTGTGAAGCTGCTCACCAGGCCTGAGAGCAGGCCTGTCAGGGACAGGGCATAAGACAGCGACAGGCCCACCAGCCCTGGGGAGAAGAGCACCAGCTGCTGGGGGAGGCCTGGACACTGGGACATGTGTGGGAAGTGGAGGGCAGAACAGAGGAATCCCAGCTATGGATTATGGGTGGTTAAAGGAAGTTGGTAGAGAAGCAGGCAGATGATAAGACCTAGTCAGAAGCATAGGAGGCTATATGCACAGGAGCAGAGTGGTGTAGAGAAGACATAATGGGACTGGGGATAGAGCTCAGCTGGTAGAGTGCGTGCCTTGTGTGCACAAGGACCTGGGTTCAATCCCCAGCATCACAGGGAAAAAAAAAAGAGAGACAGAGAGAGAAGCCCTGAGGGGTAAGAGGTGGAAGGGGGCAGGGTGATATGACTTAGGGATGGGTACAGGGAAGGGATTCAGATCAGAAGACTCATTCTAGTACAGATCCTACACCACCAGAGCAAGTCACTCCTGGAGACAGTTCCCTCAGTTCTAAAGTGGCAGTGATAATGATGAGACCACCTCACAGGGAACCCCAAATGGGAGGGGGATTTGGTGGGGGGAATAGTGCAGGGTGCTGGAGTGACTTGCTCCTGGGGTAAGGATGAAGGGTTGGGTGGTACCTGGGTTAGCAAGGCCTTGCTGGTGCTGCACCAGGGCGATGCCTGCAATGGCACTGACCACTGCCGCCCCCATGAGCTGTAGCCGAATGTCCAGCCACTGTGTTGTGGCACAAGAAGAAAACTGGCATCTCTGGTTTAGCTCTAGGAGTTGCTGGTTTTTCTCCTCAAACCTGGGGGAGACCAGGAGGGAAGTGAGGCCACTCCACTGCTATGCTGATCCACCCAGGCTCCTTTACAGTTCACCTTCTTCTGAGCCATTTATACACCATAGGCCTCACCTACGGAGGCAGAGAGGCCCATGTATTCTTTTGAAGGGGACCTGCTCTGCCTCTTTCTGCTGTTTTCCTCCTTTACCTTAGTACCCTTTCTCCCAGAAGGTCTGGATCCTCCTACCCCACATGCCTCTCTTATCAGGGGTCTATTCACTCCTCCCCACAGCACACCTTGCCCCGTGAGCTGTGGTTAGGAAATGCACATCACACACCTGTAGGTGGCCCCAGCTGCCCGGAGCACGGGGAGGCCGGCTAAGGTGTCAGCCAGGTGGGTATACAGTGGAGACAGGGTGAGGCTGCCCAGGCGCCGAAGCTCTCGTGCCGAGGCCCTGTAGTAGTACTGCACACGGTAGTACATGATGCTCAAAGGTGGTAGCAGCAGCAGCAACCAGGGCAGGCCAAAGCCCAGCACGGCCAGGAGGCCCAGCAGGCCAGCTGCATTGGCCAGTAGGATGTTGAGAAGGAAGGGCAAGCTGTCATCTGCACAGGCCACATCAGAGGAGAATCGGTTTAGGATCCGGCCATTGGGCGTGGAGTCAAAGAAAGTCACTGGTGCCTGGAAGAGATGGGGTTGGGGAAGAGCAGGGTCTGGAGAAAAAGAGTTGGTAGGCAGCCCTGGGAGAGGTGGAGTGTTAAATACAAAAGGAGCCTGGGGACAAAGGAGATACAGGTGGAGTTTGGAGGAAGACTGTCCCAGGATAGGAAACACTCCCTAATTCCTCTGGCCAGTGGCAACCTTATGAGGCCATGTTGGCCATTCCTCCTACTCTAAGCTGGACATATCTACTACCCTTTCAAGAGTAGGGAGCTAATATTTATCCTGAAGATAGGGGCTTTGGGCCAGTGAATGGGATCCAGTTAGATGTCAGGAGGAACATCTTGATTGCCCATGACTGGACAGATTGGTAAGTATTATCACTCAAAGTCACAGTTAAGACCTCAGGCTCTGGAGTCAGGCTGCAATTCAAACTCCAGCTCTGCCACTTAGAAGACACGAGACCCCATGCAAGGGACACATTTATCTCTCAAAGGATCAACTCTTAGTTACTAAAAGTTATTTTTCTAAATTTTGTGATATTCACGGTATTTATCCATTTTTAAACATTTGTAATTTGCTATGCTTTTTTCATCCCAAATAAATTTTCATGTTTGTTAAAAA